TGCGCTTGAAGAGCGCGACTGAGGCAGCAACTAAGTTCACTGACAACACTAAAAACTTCTGTCAGAGTTGTCATCTGTAAAACTAGACGCACTTGGACCAAGGAAATCCTCGCTTCGCAGATTGTCTTCCATCCATGTCTTCCTTCTGTCAAAGTGAAGGAGATAACTACACTCAGATTGATATAATTTATAATGCTCGGTTGTGGGTATATGCTTGAAGCTTGAAACTATGCCTACAAGGTATTGGAACGTATCTCCACCTATCGTATCGGGGTATCGCCGAGATCGGACATCTACGACTTTTCTAGACAAGAGGTTAGGAGAAGATCGGCTGACTGATGTCAACTGTAATCTAATATTCTTCATAATTTAACTACCAAAAAAATAGAACATTTCCTATCAGGAGCACCGCCCGCATAACCTGCTACCCGATGAACCTGCGACGCTTGGGTAACTTCTTAGAATTATATTATTTTGTTCCATAGGTATCAACAAGAATACTTAAATACTCGCTAGTGAATATGTCTAGATGACATGGTTTGTGTAACTTAAATGCTGCTCGTCGGGCATTAATGCGACAAATTCGGAACGAACAAGAGTTTGGTGCTACGTAATCGTTTCGTCATCAGGATAACTATAAATGCCGGAGCTTTCAGATGGGATTTTGCTTGCAATTTTCTAATTATAATTAAATAGTGAGTTCTGGTAGTTTAGTAATTGTTGTTTATGCGCAGTTATTAATAATAAAAAACAATCTTATCTATTTTTGTAAAAATTTGTATGTTGGTGTGTGTTTGAAGCCTACTGCAGCAAATATGTAAGGTTAATTCGGCATAATTGCTAACTATTCCGTCTTATTCATACGATATCATACTTCACCCTCCTGTAAGGTTGTTAATTATACTGTAGAAGTCACCGATTGAAAACTCTGGTCAAGAGAGAACGACCGGGGCTTAGACCAGTCGTTACCAAACAGTCCTCCTGTGAACAACCTATTTCTAGGGATGGTTGACGGTAACAATTACACCTTCAATTACTTTGATTTCTAGTCAACTTACCTTGCTTTTATTGGCAAGATTTTTCATTCAATCAAATTAAGTTTTACAATAAAATGTGCTGCACATATTTGAAATTCAGTGGCTATTGAGTCTGTCTTATTGCAATTCCATTATTACCATTATTACAGTGATTACATTATTAGTGTCAGTCAGTTCCTAAGTAATACTATTTTTAATGTGTATAGTTGCGGATCTGGGGCTGGACTCGAGGTGGCACTAAGAAATCTTGCCTCTACAAGCGTATTTGAAGCTTTTCGTACTCACGTGCTCACCACGCGGACCGACTTCTCGCTCTATAGACCAAAGAAGTGCTGCTTCTTGTGAAGCAGGAATCGCAGGAATGAATACCTTTATGTGTCAAGGAATCGCAGATCATCATTGTTTCGTGTACTGTGTACACGAAACACAGTACACGTGTCATAAATTACGGTAGACTTTGCATCTTCTTCTGATTTGAGTAAATTGTTGGTGTTCATTAACGGTTGAAGTGTCCCCGTGAGTGAAACATACCCAATGAAGCACAGCCTTCATAAGTTCATAACACACTTTCATAACAAGAACCGTAGCCGAATGATTTATATATGCGTTTACCAAACATTCGCGCTGCATTCAGTGCATGTACGGCTTATTCAATAACCACAATTAGTTCCGCCTGAAGGCAGATATTAATATATGCCTTTCAGTTTAAATTCATCAAAGCTTAGTGTAGAGCTCTTTGGGTTTACCTTGTGAACACCGGAGCCTACGAAATTTAATTATATTTATTAGTTGTGAGAGTATTTAGCTTTTACTAAACACATGTTTTGTGTAGGCAGTAACGCAACTTGCAGTAGTTTGAGCAGCGAACGCTCCTATTCTTTGGATGTTGAGAACACACGTCGTTTTTAGCTTTGATTTAAACTTCAGGGTTCAATGGACAGAAATCACAACCCTCGTTTCGATTTGGCCGTAGCCGTGTTTTCATTCTGAAAATGATCAAGATTTTTTCGAATACATCCTTGTAACCTGTTAATTGATTCGAGTAAATTCTTTCACTTCTAATAACCCTGGAAAGAGACATTTTTATAACGAAAATTCTATTTGTCACCAAGTGCGCTTGCGGTTAAATAATGAATGACGACAGTGATAAATACGATGCATGGTTAAGGATTTGCTATAACCTCATTTATTCTTTTATATGGAGTAGTTATGTACCAAGACAAGCTTTTGGATAACCGAATATTTTCTGCTTACTGGCATTTGGTTATTCCGGTGCTTGCAGCTCCGTATATAGGAGGCTGTAGTTCGCGCTCTACAAAAGGCAAATAAATCCCTACGACTTTTTGCCGTCATCATGTGTAGAAGAATTTCCTTAGCGTTAAATTTTTCTAATTCTCTTCAATGTTTTCGTGGCCACGCCACAAACGCCTATGGTCATTTTGATTTATTTATGTAGACATTTATACATTGAGAGTACAGCCTTCTTTTTATTCGTGTTTCGCAGTGAATCGTTCAAGCGCGTTTATTGATACATGGTGGTTTTCACTTCAGTCACAGGCTCATAGCTTCTTTGTATAATTACGATGACAACATTATGACTACCGTATCTTTAATTAAAATCTGGAGATACTGGATTCACATTACGATTTGTCGCCCACAGGTACGTATCGCCTTCAATAAACTGAATCTTAATTTGATTGTCAGCGTGGAACAATTCTATAACCTGACGCATCCTTCTTCTTATAGCAGATAATCATGAAATATTTACCTATTTCATTTGAGGTGCCCAAATTTGTAATTCGCGTTTAGTTTTAGTTGTGATTATTTATACAATGAAATTAGAAAAGATACAAAGATTTTTTGGAAAGGTAAACATTTTACTAACTGTCAGGTAAAAAACGAAACATTTTCAAATAATTCTACATGTTTTCAAATATTCAAATTTCAGCAAGTAAAAGCAGATACTTCTCGTATAACCTAACAAACCCGTCCGTTTTAAATCACGGCTAGATTGAAGGCAGTCACTATTGTTGAATGTCTTCCTTTTATCATTAACGTAACATCTCATTTGATCGAAAGAATAGTAATTATATTACCGCTCGTAATTATTGGAGAGTTTTGAATTTAAGATTGCAGAGTTTTTGCGATTAAAGTTCAATTTGAAATAAAGGGGGAACAGGCGCTATATATGTATGTGCAAACTTTCAAGTCCACTGCATTATATAATTTGGGATACTGAAGAAAAACTCTACTCTGCTCGTTGGGTGTTTACGGTCTTGGCCGTAGATGCAGTGAACATCCGTTGCATTTAATCACTAGAATGCCACCATTAAATTGGGCAATGGTGTACTTATCAAAAGCGTCCATATGCATACCAAATGCAAAATGAAGACAATCATTATTACAGAGAAATTTATTTTCAAATTTCAGTTGTTACTCTCTCGCAAATTTACACAAAACAACAAATAATTTTGATCAACTGCATTTGTTTATTTTTTATCAATTTCGCAAAAAAGAAGTCTGAGCTTCCGGAATGTAATTACCGACAGATCTTTCGTCTTGGGCGAATTCGCTAGTGACTTGGTCACAGATGTCCATAGAACGGCCAAAGGTCATTCGCCGAAGGGTTGGCTTAAATTGGAGAATGTTAGGGACTGTCTTCGCGCCATTTTCACTGCCCCTCAGTGTCGCGCCAGAAGTTCTTGTCCATTAACAAGTCTGGCAATTGCACCATCGCAGTGCCCTGCAAAAATTGTGTGTGTCCTGCCTTATACAGACAAGCAACCCTTCTAAAAAAAACGTGGCTTCCATATTGAACCTACTCGTTTCTGATATAAATAATATCTTGATTGGTTTCCCCGTGTAGCGTTAAATTTAATTTTTCTTAGTAATTCTCGAACAATTTGAACGAAACAGCCTAAAGTCTGCTTCTATGTAAGATTTAAAATCTGAAATTTTCACAGATCTAAATCTCCATGAAAAATCCATGGTTAAAAGATCTGAAATTTTCAAAGAAAGTTTGTTGTTATTTCTAGTTGAAAGTCAATGGCAATATTGTTATATTGAAAGTCACTGGCAGTATATTGAAAGTCACTGATAATTTTGTTGACCCAGCAGGCAATGTCAGGTTGAATCAACGTTGAAACAGCAAAACTCACGACGTTGAATACTAGTTTAGAATGAAAATTGCAGCAACATGATTTTTTCAGCGTCGTAAAATTATATTTCGAAGTTAATTCAACGTTGAAAAAGCGTAATATTCTGATTTGAAATTCGTATATATATATATATATATATATTCATTCGCAATCTTCCCGTCAGATGCCAACGCGATTTTAACGCTGAAACAACGTCGAAATGAAAGACGTTGAAAAAATGACGTTACTTAAATTTTCATTCTAAACTAATATTCAACGTTATTTCAATGTCGTGAGTTTTGATGCTGCAACATTGATTCAACCTGACATTGCCTGCTGGGGATGATTGTCCAAACCAATCTTATAAATCTGGTTTTGAAGCATGGTTGAAGGCTTGGCAACGAAAGTTACGCAGTTACTGGAAAATCTATTGAAATATTATATTATCAATTATCTGAATGACTGTCATACTTTTGCCTTTTCTCACATTTTTTCTCCAAATTTTATCAACATCTTCAGTATCGTCCTCCTCCTTGTCTAATAAGTTCTTCTAAACGAAAAGGAAAATTATACCTTTCATTAAATTTCTTAGCCATTTTTCAGTCCTTGCATAAAATGTATAGTTCATTTTGAGACGATGGTGAAGATTACCGGCGCTATTGAACGGTCGCTTCTGATTGTACTTACCCTTTAATTTCGCTCTTTCTTGATGAATTATAAAACAAATTAAGGGTGCTTGATCAATGGCCAATGGTCGGCCAATGATAATACGGATTAAATTTTCGTCATGTTTTATAAAGCTCGTAAAATATCCTTGTCATTTTCAGATTTGTGAAGTGCTGGAGTGAAAAATGCTTTGTTCTCGTTGAGTGAAAAGTTACTTGCTTCCGTTGAATGAAAAGTTACGTGTTTTATCGGCGAGTTGTGTTAGTGAGTGTTGCGTTTGCACAGTTCAATTGATACACGATACGATTTGGATAATGTAGGAGCGTGAACACCTTATTTTTGTAAATACTACTCGAGTTGCATGTAGCTCTTTCAAGACGATATCTTTCCTATTTTCTTAGAGCCACTATGGTTATCAAGAATCTACATGCTCATGTGATATCACTCTGAAATTCAACGTATAGGAGGTTGTTATATCTACCTGCAACATCTCGCATACTTTCATGTTTGCGATCTAGTGAAAAAGCCGTGCACGATTTTGTGGAAATGCCGTGCACGATCTAGTGGAAACGCAGTGGACGATCTAGCGAAAATGCCGTGCACGATATAGTGGAGACGCCGTGTAAGATCTAGCGGAAATGCCGTGCAAGATCTAGTAGAAATGCCGTGCTCGATCTAGCAAAAATGCCGTGCAAGATCTAGCGGAAATGCCGCGCACGTGAGATCTCGCGCTGAAGATCTCCGACGGACTGGACTTCAGATCTGCGGATCCAGCGCCATGGAGGACCGGTCCGCCCGACCCCGTCCAGAGGCTGTCTGGGCAACCCCAAGGGTGAGTGCCTGGTCCTACATCCCCTGCTCCTACATCTCCTGCTCCTACATCCCCTGCTCCTACATCCCCNCATTTCAACTTGTTTTTCATTTCAACTAGTTTTTCATTTCAACTAGTTTTTCATTTCAACTAGTTTTTCATTTCAACTAGTTTTTCATTCCAACTCGTTTTTCATTTCAACTAGTTTTTCATTTCAACTACTTTTTCATTTAAACTAGTTTTTCATTTCAACTAGTTTTACATTTCAACTAGTTTATAATTTAAACTAGTTTAAAATTTCAATTAGTTTTTCATTTCAACTAGTTTTTCATTTCAACTTGTTTTTCATTTAAACTACTTTTTCATTTAAACTATTTTTTCATTTCAACTAGGTAGTTTTACATTTCAACTAGTTTTACATTTCAACTAATTTATAATATAAACTAGTTTATAATTTCAATTAGTTTTTCATTTCAACTAGTTTTTCATTTCAACTAGTTTTACATTTCAACTAGTTTTACATTTCAACTAGTTCATAATTTCAACTAGTTTATAATTTCAACTAGTTTATAATTTCAACTAGTTTATAATTTCAACTAGTTTAATATTTCAACTTGTTTTGCATTTCAACTTGTTTTGCGTTTCAACTTGTTTTTCATTTCAACTTGTTTTACATTTCACCTTGTTTACATTTCAACTAGTTTATAATTTCAACTAGTTTTACATTTCAATTTATTTTTCCTTTCAACTTGTTTTTCATTTCAACTTGTTTTACATTTCAACTTGTTTTACTTATCAACTTGTTTTACATTTCAACTAGTTTTTCATTTCAACTAGTTTTTCATTTCAACTAGTTTTATATTTCAACTAGTTTTATATTTCAACTAGTTTTATATTTCAACTAGGTTTTCATTTGAATTAGTTATTTATACGAGCAACCTGGGTACAAATTCAGTCTCGTACGCTTGCTGTAATTATCGCCTTAACAGAGTTAAGCTCATTAAATGTAATATTTAGGCTGGCAGTTCGTCGCTTTGTATGAGGCAAGCTTGATATGTTCGGGCAGAATATCTTACTTCAATATTGCAGCTCTGGCTTGAATGATTCCATTCATGTGATGGAGTAAGTAGAGTCCGGGGAGAAATGAAAGGGATAGTTTTACCAGGCAAGGACTCGGAACGTTGCACTTCGTTTCGAGGCAATGGGAATTAATTTGAATTCACAGAATAACTGCATTAATATTATATTATGTTAATCATGAATCTTGAACGAATTGCAAGTCTCTCATGAGTTTGTTTAGATTTTTTAAGCCCGTAAGAATGTGCTGGATAAAAAACGTAAAGGGTCTGTAAAAAATGAACTTTTTAAAATCAAGTTTACGAGTGCAGTGAGATCGGAGTCTCTGGTATATAATTCAATGAATTATTTACATGTCTTATCGTGTTGTCGTACACCTTTCTTTAGGGCTTACAGTTTCGTTTGCAATGAATATATTTCTGTGCAATATTTCACGCTAAATCGAATCATTCTCGTATATTCGGTTTCGCTCCACAAAATAAGTGAGTCTTGTAAAAACATAAACTCCGTAGAGTGTTAAGATAACTTTTTGCATATATTTTAAATATACCGTGAATTTAAAGCAAAGTTGATAGCGAAAAAGTTCCCCACGCAGGATGAGAATAATACATTGAACAAGACCATCGCTCGTGTTCGCCTCTTAATAATATATATAAAATTTATAATATTCACGCGTGTGTTTATCCAAGGTTTTAAATACATTTCGTTCTTCCATTAGCTTTCTGTCAAAGCGTGTTCCCTTATCATAGTTGTGTTAACTAAAGAAGATTTATACAATTAATGCCCGCATTTCTGCCTGTGCATAACCAGCAAATAGAACTGGGTTAATAGAACTCTGCGTTCTTTAATACGAAGATTTCAGTAACTTAATTTCTCTGTTTATTTTACTGAACTGTTTTAGGAAATTAATTGTGTCGCAATTAATTGAATTTCATTCGTCATATTGCGTCGAGAGTGCAGGATAAAAACATGCTCAGAACTCGTTTAATTTCGAAAAATTTCATCAGAAATGCAGTATTTAAGGCGGTATTTCTGTTTTTTTTTTTTAATTCAAGTTTCCAGAATATTATATATACGTCGACGTTGGCAACATTTCACTTGTTCGTAGAAGTGTATAATAATAATAGTGCATGCTGTAATTTCAATCTCAATATGCAAATCGCTCTTTAAGCCTCCGCATCCAACGCTTTCTTCACTTCGAAAATTTGCGAAAAATGATAAGTGCTTTACGAGCTGACATGTTCACGCTGAAGGTGAGTTGACATGTTCACGCTGATGCTGAGTTGAAATGTTCACGCTGATGCTGAGTTGACATGTTCACGCTGAAGGTGAGTTGACATGTTCACGCTGATGCTGAGTTGAAATGTTCACGCTGATGCTGAGTTGAAATGTTCACGCTGATGCTGAGTTGAAATGTTCACGCTGATGCTGAGTTGAAATGTTCACGCTGATGCTGAGTTGACATGTTCACGCTG